TTTCAGTCTCTGAAATGTAGCATTTTTTGACTTAGTTCAAAATACATATTTAATTTTTTCAAAATTTTTTAGACTTTTGAAATGTATTTTTCAAACTAATTTTTGTTGAACAAGAAATTTCTAATTGATATTTTTTGTTTTTTTTTTTGTTTAAAATTTTTTAAACCTAAAAACGTTTTTGGTTTCGTAACTTTTTTTTTGCCGTGGAAAAATTGTACGTAAGTTTATTTTGTTTTTGTTTATAATGTTTAAAATTAATTTTTTTTAAATCCTTCCAAAGTACTGACTGATTCGGCCACTTCAATTAAAATTTAGTAAATAGTTTAGTGTGGCTAAGTTTTTAAGTGTCCCAACGAAAAAATTTCACGTGTCTTAAAAATTTCACATTTTTTATAAATTTGTTTTGTGTTTAATTATGCAGCAGCATCTAAATTTAAAATTTTTTGTGTTTGAATGTGCGTTGTTTTTTGGATTCTCTAGCTTTGTTTTTATTCAAAAAAAAAAGTTTGCGTTGTACAAAAGTTTTTACTTTACACTTATTTTGGTGTTTTTTAGTATTTTTTTGTCTTTTAAAGTTCTAAAAATTTTCTTTTTTTGATTTAATTCCGTTATTTAAATTCTTTTAACTAATACTTGTTCGAGATTTTTTAAAATTTTTGTGTTTAAAGTTTATGAGTGACGGTGTGGTTTTAAATTTTGTAACTTGGCTCTTCTATAGTTTAAGTTTTGTTGCCCTTCTGAGTAAAAAAAAATAGTTTTATAGATGGTTTTTAATCTGGCATTTCTTCCTGATACTTTATTCGTTGGCATGTTTTTTTAGAATTTTTCTTTTGTAAAATGCTCTTTCAATTTTAATTTTTTTTACCGTAAATTTAGAAAAAAATTAATAATAAAGTAAACTATAAAAATTCAGTTTTTTACCACATTGTTTTGAAACAAATTTGAATGTCTGTAAATTTTTTCAGTTCACCATAACTAGACGTTTATCAAAAAAAAGGACATTTTTTCAAATGTAAATTTTTCCAAAGATTTTTAATGTGTTAAATTTTTTCATTTCCCTTAAACCAAATTAAAAAAAAACGTGTTTATTAATTTATTTATTTTACCAGAAATTAAAAAAAATCAGTGTCTTCATTTTTTTTTATTTTGTCTCAACTAAATTTTCTCATCTCAACTCAACTAAAATTTTGTAAAAAAGAAAACTTTTTTGAAATTTTGAAATTTTTTTTTAACTTTGTTTTCCAAAATTTTGAATGTCTATTTGAGTACGTGTACTTAAATAATTAACTAAACTAAATAAAAAACTAAAAAAAATCCAAATAAAATATTTTATCCGTGGTAATTTTTTTTTATAAAAAATCTAAAAATATCTTTCAAATTCATAAGTTTTCAACGCAGTTTTTCCAAAAATATTAAATTTAGTTAAATATTACCACAATTTTGGCTTTTCAATTTTTAATCTTTTTATCAAAACATTTTTTTTGTTAGTATTTTTACTGAACGCTGTTCTTCGCAACACCACGGTTTTTTACTTCCCTTTTAATGTCTTTCAATTTAAAATATTTTCTTATTTAAATTCTATTTAATTCAACCTCGCTGCTCGTGCACATATTGTTAGCTCATTTACATACAAACATGTTGTGTATTTATTTAGGCACATACGCACTAGTGCCTACACACAAACATATGTACATACACCAACTTGTATGTGCATATATATTTTCTTGTCCAACTAAAACTATTTGCATTTGTTTTTGTACTGTTTCCACATTGTCTACTTTTATCATAGCAGAAAAAATTCTATTCTTCTGCTGGGAAACATTTGTTTTTTTTTAATTTCACTTTTATCGTTTTACAATTTCTTCGCTTTCGTCTCACACGCTTTCACACAGCACAGCGAAATTCTAATTTATTGCATTTTCTTTTTCAGCTACTATTCTTTTATTTTCTGACTACTAAATTCTGTAAAGCGATCACTGGGGGCGTTGGGTCAGTTCACGCGCGAACCACCACACCACATCACATAAAAATGTTTACTTAAGTACCCGTAGTACCGTCTGCGTTTGCGTTGGGGGTTGAATTGAATTGAAGAATTGAAGAGTTGAAGAGACGACACAATGTTGTTGCGATGATGATGGTTCGGCTGCTGCTGATGTTGCTGCCGAACTGAATTGACTAGCCACAACAGACAACAGTAAAGACTGTCGATGTCGATGAGTTGCAGAATAGCCGCCGCACTCACTTGGCTTTAGTACGGAACAGCAAAAAGGTGTAAAAGAAAGACAAAAATAATGGGGGAAAAAACACCCAGAGAGTTTTTCACTTCACTTTATTTCGATTATAAGAAAAAAGCAGCGCGCGGCTTTAATTTGTATTTGCTTTTTACTTTATATGTATGTACATCTTCCTCAACGAAACGCTCGCGAACACCATGACTTACTGCTTGATCGGCGGTGGGTTGGTCGCTCGTTTGGTTTATTACTTATGCATTTAGTCCATCACCCGTTCAGACGTTCTATTCACTTCGATGAACATCTTGTAACTATTTTCGAAACGCGAACGCAATTGCAGAGCAGACCACACCAGAGACCGACCACATCAGAGACCAGACGGAACAGTCTGCGCTGACAGCAGACGACCAGACAAGTAATAGTAGCAGAAGCAGAAGCAGCAGTAACAAGAGCACCAGCACCAGCGCCAGCACCAGCGCCAGCAACAGAAACAACAGAAAAGTAAAGTGAAGCAAGCCAGCGAAGCGAACCAACAAAGCGACCAGCGAACCAAAAGCAACAGCAGCAGCACATAATCTCTGGCATGTGTGTGTGTGTACCCCATTTGCTGTTGGCCACCGCACCCCACACCACACCACATCAAACCTTTCCACTGTACCACACCTAACCAGAGCCCCATCAGCATTCACCACCCCAGTCCATGCCTGTTGCCTGCTATCCGTCGCCATACATATGGAGACCCATACATACAATTATACTCATGCGTTCGCACGGCCAGCAACTCAGCTGCTTCTGTCCATATTCGTCATACCATGGCAGTGCAAAGCAAATTCAACGCAGAAACAGAAATCGTAATCAAAACCGAAGTTGTGTAGATATTCTCCGGTCGCTTACGAAGCAGCCACATAAATAAAAGCAGAGCGCAGAGTAGAAAACACAAAGAGCTAAAAGAGTGGTTGAGGTGGCGGTTATGGTGGTGCGGCTGGGCTCGCTGCTCCACAGAGACCCCAAAGCAACACTCGACCAGCTAGCCAGCTAGCCAGCCAGGCAGGTAGGCAGGCAGGCAAACAGATACATTAATACAAAGAATTTGTTAAAACAAAGAGCAACCAACCAGCAGCAACGACAGTAAGCCATCAGTTAGGTTAGCCCCACTGACGTTGAGTGTAAAAAAGTCAAGCGAAGAGAACTGAGGCTACAAATGTAACAGTAACCGCGCTAACAGTATCAGACCCCAAAATGTTAACAGACCGTATAACAGCAGCTGCAGCATTTTAATGGACTATGGCAGTGTTGAGGGGGGCGCTGTGTTGTAAAGGTAGCGCGAAATTTACGATGGAGCTGTGCTGATGTCAATAAAAAATGCTACAACTACAAAAACTCAATGTAAAAAATCTCATTGCGTTTTGAGTACCTGAAATACTCGTAGCTGGAAATGCAGAAATTGGAAATTTGTTCGTGAATTTTAAAGCGATTTCGAATTGTTTGTCATTTTATTTGCGCCGACTTTTTAGTTTAGCATTTTAATTACCCTGTGGGAAAAGTGGTAATGCATTACATGCGTGATAAATAATGTAATGTACATATTTCTAATGAGTTCTAGATTCTATTTCAGTTGAATATGTAATCAGAATTCTAATGTATCCAAAAAGTGGCAAAAATTTCATATTAAATCATTCATATAAATTCATGTGAAAACGGCTATTATTTTTTCGATTACTATACGTTACTTTTTCCCACTGGGTAGCTTCGTTAATAGATAATGGTTATGTAACTTCGCGGGTGCAAGTAATTTTCATAAGATATTTAATTTGAGCTTGTGTTGTCTGTACGTCCTCGGACAACGGATTTCAATTTTTTAGTTTAAGTTTTCTGTACTTTTAGACTTCATTGTTTTATATTTTTTTAATTTAATTTAATTTTTAGAAACGTATTCTTTAATTTTTTAATTTAATTGTTTTCTTTTCTAATTTAATGTTCTTTTGATTTTTAAGATTTACCCTTTTAACAAGAAAACATTTTTTTTTGATTTCAAATAATATTTGGTAACTTATTTCACGTTTTCCTTTTTTAATTTTATTTATTTCTTCATTTTTTAAATTAGTTTTTATTTTTAAATAAAACAATGTTTTTCTGTTTTTTATTTATTTATTTCTAAATTTTTAGATTTTATTGTTTTAAAAAGAAAAATGAAGGGTCTAAGTGACATTTTTTGAAAATATAAGTTATACCCATATTTGTATAGTTAAATATAATATTTATTTGGTGACAAAGAGTAAATATTCTTTGAATTAGGCAAGAATCATTTCAAATGAATAAAACCCAGAATTTACAATAAGTAATCAACTTTAACTTTAATTATTTTAAAAAAATGTCAGACCTACTTAGATCCTTTTGATTCTAACCCCTTCAAATATTTTTTTTTTAATTTAATTTTAGAAACCTATTTTATTAATTTTTTATTCTATTTTAATCTGACAATTTTCTTCAATTTAATTGTCCTCGTTTTTATTTTTTAATGTTTTAAAAAGAAAATTATTATTTTTTATATAATTGAATTTTTGTAAACTTACTTCATATTTTTAATTTTTTTAATCTAATGTTATTTTTTCTTCTTTTAATTTAGTTTTGTTTACACTCTATTGTAATTTTTTTTATTTAATTCAATTTTTAGAAAACCCATTGCTAAATGACGAACAAAATAACTCCAAGAACTCCTCCCTCTTCTTTGGCAGATCTTTCCATTTGTCAGGCGTGCCGTTCTAGAGATCCTAGGTTCGAGTCCTCGGACAACAGCTTTTCTTGTGTTTTTTTTTTTTTAATCACTTTTTATAAGTTAGATTTTTTTCAATTTGTTGATTTTATTATTTCATATTTTTTAAATTCAATTTAATTTTTAGAAACACATTTTATGTTTTTTATTCAACTTTTTCTATTTTAATTAAATTTTCTTTAAACTTTTAGGTTTTATTATTTTCTTTTTTAATTTTATTGTTTTTTTTTCCTTTTTAATATATATTTTTATATTATCTTTTTTATTTTTTTCTTTTTTAATTTATATCTTTTTATTACAATTTTATTGTTTTAAATAGAAAATATTTTTCTTTAAATTTATTTAAATTTTTAAAAACAATTTATTTATTTTTATTATTATGTATATAGTTATTATTTTTTGTTTGATTTATTACAAGCTTGTTTTTTTTTGTCTTTTTAGTTTCATTATATTTTTATTTTTTTTTAGTTTAATTTTCTTTCAGTGAGATTTTATTGTGTTAAGTGTTTTTTTTTTAATTCAATATTTAGAAAACTCTTTGCTAGAAGACAAACAGAATAACACTAAGAACTCCCCTTTAGTAGATCTTTCCATTAGTAAATATTTGGAAAGACGGAAAAGAGCTTCAAGATAGTTGCCACAATTGACAATTGTCTTTCGAAAGACTCTGGTGAGATGAAAGACAGTTGCCATAATACCCTTTAAGATTCCAAATTAACTAACAGGTGTATAAATACCCAACAGCGTCCATAACAACAGCTTACATGGAAGTTAACATCGAATTCCAGAAGTACTGTACAAATACTGCTAATAACAGCAGCATGAACAGCGCTCTGTTGAATGTTAACAGACCCCAATAACTAAGCTATGTACAAGCAATGCTACCCCAAACAAATCGAGCGCCACAAAAATTTCTGCATTTCTATCCACTGCAACAGCACAACAACAACTACAACAAACACACACACACACTACTTAATCCCATACCAATCAAATGCGACTTATGTTTTTACCTCCCAGCAAAAACTAATTAGAAGAATTAACGAAGAAAACAACCGACGGCAAAACCGAAGTAACTTGCATTAACCAAACGACTCATCACGATCGGCAAACTGACAAAACGTTTTCAAAACAACAACAATAATAACACTAAAAATAAATAAATGTGGAGTTAAGTAGCGCGCGCACCGCGTATAAGAAAAGCGAAGCACTTGTTTTGTTGCTGGCAAAGAGCGCACTAACGAAAGCGAATGTTATGCCAAGTATTCTTTGGTTTGTGCGCTGCGTAATTAGGTGGCTCCAGCAATCAACGGCAGCCAGCGAATAGCAGCAGCGCAGTCGGCTGTTACTTAAACTGATAAAAGAACACTTAAAAATACAAAAAGATTCGTAAGCGGAATGGCGCGATGCGGGATAAACTGGTGCAGCGGCAATGCGCCAAAGAGTGTCTGCGGTATGCTGTTACTCAAAGCGTACACACAGAAGATTGTAAAGAAGAAACATAGCGAAGAAATACCTACTAGAAAGACAGCAATCAACTTTTGTTTGACTCTTCTAGTTACGCTCTTTTGTTCTTGCGTCAATACACACTCTCGCTCTCTGGCTCTGGCCGTACGTTGCTCCAAACTTGGTTGGGGGTTGTCGCTGTTGCTGTGGAAGCTGTGCTGTTAAGCGCTGTTAGCTGGCAACATTTCAACAGTGCACGCTGTTAATGATTCAGCTTCCTACTGGTATGCCATTTTTATGGTCATGCCACTGGCTGGCTGTTCTATTAATTTCGCTACTATGCTCTCATTGCACTAATACATGTAAACTTGGCTTTTTACTTTCTTGTGTGTGTGTGTGTGTGTGTGTGTGTGCATTCACTGGTGCATTACGCGATTGCATTTGTTTTTTTTTTGTGTTTATACATTTTTCTACTATTGGCGCTCTTTTCATTAGAATGCACTTAGCAAGTTGTGGTTCTGAAATTATTTCACAATTTTATTCTATTCTTTATTGTTATAGTGATTTTGTTATTGTTGCTGCTATCGCATTAGGGTTTTTTTACGCTGTCGACGTTAGGCGAAATGCATCAATATTAGAGGTTGGATTTCAGAGTCGCTGCCGTTAGCACTGCGATGTTACTGTGCTCATATTGTAAATTTTATGGTTGCAAATGTTTTTCGGTACTGCTTTATTCTAGCCAATTTGGATTTCATGGTATTTTGGGATGTTTTGCAGTATGCTAATGCAAAACTATTAAACTGAGTGATGACATCATCAAGTTTTTGACATAAAAATACTCTCCAAGGTTCAAATCTCTATGCAAATAAGGTATAGCAACAACTGTTTGAAAGAAATTCTTTAATGCATATATTCGTACACAT